TTTTTTTTTTTTCTTTTTCGCCATTTTATAAAAATTTAAAATATAAAAAGTTTTTAATAAAAGATCATAACGGATGGCGCCACACACGCAGTTTTAAATGTAGCCGGGAAACTTAAGCAACTCGTTGTTGGATTTTATTATTATTTAAACTTAACTGAAATTTCTATTTTATATAGTTCCACAATCATTCTATCAATTACTAATGACGAGGATATCGTTAAATGTTCGGAAAACAAGGCACTCAGAAATATATCTGTTACATTACGCTATCCGCCAATAATAACTGATGAGGGAAGAGTAACTTGAAAACCTATTTGAGATTTCAAAAGATGCATTTACAAACTCTCGTTCGTTTTGATTAATTTTTCTCAGAAAAGCGTTCCTTGAATACAATTTCTTTTTTTTTTTTATATTTGGCTCTTTCTCCCTTTTTGGCACTAAGAGGATTTTTTCATAACTGTAATGGGTCAGTCAGGCCGATAATGGATTTTTAAAACTTATTTTGCCTTGTGGGCACTAAGAAGGCCTTAGCAAGCCCATTTTGGGTTTGCTATTGCTAACCTACAACACGGTGACCAATCTACAAGCGGGATGGAACCGACATATTCGGAATGAACCGCTCTGAAAAATTCCTAAGTTTTTTTATTTCCAGGATTCAATTCCGGGTCCTGCAGGTGTCTTAACCGCCTCGACAAACTTGTTGTCCTTAAATACACCTTTAATCTGTAGACGAATAATATCATCTGGTGCGATTCTAAAAACTATACCAACAGAAACTAACTACACTTGAAACAATGGGATCGAGCGAATAAATTAAGTTTTACATTATCTTGTAGGGAAAGTGCACTTTGAGAACTTTTTAATTACATTAAAGCATTAATTTCCGCCCTGACAGAATGTGTGTCAAATGATTCAAGATGTCGATTCACTTTACAATAAGATTTTTTTTTTTTTTTAACTGTGGGTAAGTTCTTTAGTGCCCTGTGGGCACTAAGACCTTACCCAATTCCTGACCAACCACGGCCGCTTCAACAGCTACCTCAATCGTTTCGGATTGAGTAAGCCAGGACAACAACCTGTGTGCTTACTGTGGTGTCCGAGATGGGGACACCATGTTTTTGATTGTCCTATGCTCCTCAGGGAAAGGACTTTCATTATTACAAGCCTTCCAGCTAGCATCATCTGGCCCTGTAATCATCATACTCTCCTCAATAGCAAAGAGCTATACGAACTTTACATCAAGCTGATAAATACATACCAGAGGATAACATCTGTTCACGGTTTCACTCCATCTCCTGCTTAATTAATCTATCACCTTGTTTCTGTGTACTTACTGTGTACTTATTTTCATGCTGTGTATCATTTTCCATTGTCCTGAGAGATCCATCTGTTTCTCGCCTGAATCATTGCTTCCAATGTTATATTTGTATATTTAATCATAACAATTTTGAGAGGTTTTTCTGCGAGTGTGGCAGGAGACGATTTTGTTCGCCCTCTTTGAAGCTTAATAACTCCTTTGCTTATTATCGAAAATTTCTGAAATTTTGCAGGGAAGTTCGTATATTAGTGGGTTTGATGCTATTAAATTTTGGTGGTTAAAGGTCGACGGGATGTGAGGGATAAAGGAGTCATATCTCGAGTCCGTCGGACTTAATGACGATTTTACTTGTTGTTAGCATTTACATTTTTTTAAAATAAAACCCATCCCTAATTTCAAAATTGTTTTTTTTTTTTCTTTTTCGCCATTTTATAAAAATTTAAAATATAAAAAGTTTTTAATAAAAGATCATAACGGATGGCGCCACACACGCAGTTTTAAATGTAGCCGGGAAACTTAAGCAACTCGTTGTTGGATTTTATTATTATTTAAACTTAACTGAAATTTCTATTTTATATAGTTCCACAATCATTCTATCAATTACTAATGACGAGGATATCGTTAAATGTTCGGAAAACAAGGCACTCAGAAATATATCTGTTACATTACGCTATCCGCCAATAATAACTGATGAGGGAAGAGTAACTTGAAAACCTATTTGAGATTTCAAAAGATGCATTTACAAACTCTCGTTCGTTTTGATTAATTTTTCTCAGAAAAGCGTTCCTTGAATACAATTTCTTTTTTTTTTTATATTTGGCTCTTTCTCCCTTTTTGGCACTAAGAGGATTTTTTCATAACTGTAATGGGTCAGTCAGGCCGATAATGGATTTTTAAAACTTATTTTGCCTTGTGGGCACTAAGAAGGCCTTAGCAAGCCCATTTTGGGTTTGCTATTGCTAACCTACAACACGGTGACCAATCTACAAGCGGGATGGAACCGACATATTCGGAATGAACCGCTCTGAAAAATTCCTAAGTTTTTTTATTTCCAGGATTCAATTCCGGGTCCTGCAGGTGTCTTAACCGCCTCGACAAACTTGTTGTCCTTAAATACACCTTTAATCTGTAGACGAATAATATCATCTGGTGCGATTCTAAAAACTATACCAACAGAAACTAACTACACTTGAAACAATGGGATCGAGCGAATAAATTAAGTTTTACATTATCTTGTAGGGAAAGTGCACTTTGAGAACTTTTTAATTACATTAAAGCATTAATTTCCGCCCTGACAGAATGTGTGTCAAATGATTCAAGATGTCGATTCACTTTACAATAAGATTTTTTTTTTTTTTTTTTAACTCTCTCCGCCCTGTGGGCACTAAGACCTTACCCAATTCCTGACCAACCACGGCCGCTTCAACAGCTACCTCAATCGTTTCGGATTGAGTAAGCCAGGACAACAACCTGTGTGCTTACTGTGGTGTCCGAGATGGGGACACCATGTTTTTGATTGTCCTATGCTCCTCAGGGAAAGGACTTTCATTATTACAAGCCTTCCAGCTAGCATCATCTGGCCCTGTAATCATCATACTCTCCTCAATAGCAAAGAGCTATACGAACTTTACATCAAGCTGATAAATACATACCAGAGGATAACATCTGTTCACGGTTTCACTCCATCTCCTGCTTAATTAATCTATCACCTTGTTTCTGTGTACTTACTGTGTACTTATTTTCATGCTGTGTATCATTTTCCATTGTCCTGTACTCCATCACCAACCCCAATTGTGCTATGCGGTATTGGGGATGTACTTTGTACATATGTAAATAAATTGATTGATTGTGGGCACTAAGAGGGCCTATTATTGAAAGCCCATTATGAGTTCGGCCAGGCCCACAGTGGGACTGCCGGGTGGTGAGGGACGGGGCCCGACATATCCGAACGGACCACCCCCCAAAAATTCCTGAGGAATTTTCGACCCATTCGGATTCGAGCCCGGGTTCCCCAGAGCGGTGGGCTGCCACCTTGACCGCTCGGCCATCCAGCCGCTTACAATAAGATCTATTTTTTAATGTTTAATATAAAGAAATTATATTATATTATTAAAATTAATTTTTTATATTTTATAAAATTTTATTTATAAAAATAAATTTAATATAATTCTTTTTTTCTTCAAAAATACCAAATTATAGATGTCGCGAAAGTAGCCAATGTGTTTATGTGTATATATCATCGATAGCGATCGACTTAAAGCATGACATTTGACTGGAGTCGGTTTTATATTATGTTATCAATACCGAATATGAAATAAGTCGAAAATAATATTTTGTAAATATAACGTAAACATATCTTTAACTTTATAATCATAAATTAGAGCATTAAGCATAAAAATGAACGGAGAAAGCGAATTAAAAGACGAAGATTATTTGATAATGATGGCTAAAAGACATCATTTTGTTGATCCTTCAGCAGCTAAAGCTTGGGTAATTACTGCAAAATCTCTTTTTCCGGATCATTTCGGGATTCAGGTTTGTTACTTATGATTTTCTATTTACACTGTTGATTCTTTGATTACAAATAAATAATAATAATATATGTATTATAGTTTGAAGCTTACAGGATGGCAAAGGATAGCGGCTGTGTAAAAGAAGCTGCATTATACTTTGAAGAAATGTAAGTAATATCTATGAAATATTTGTTTAAATTGACATGAAATTTTTCATATTGATCTCTACATTGGCATTATAACCAAATGAATCTAAATTGAAAAACAATAAGCCAAAATTGAGTAAAGAAAACATTTACAAACAATACAAACATTTTTGCGTTTATTACGACTATTAGGCCAAAACGAACACAAATACAAACAACGCAGTACACACAAAATAATGTTCATATTGTATTGAAAAAATTTTGCACTTTATGTCAAATATTTTAAAAAGTTACAACAAAAACTGGAAAAGCTTAATCAACAAGTAAATAAAAACTTCTTGTCTAACAAGGGTTTTTGATGTAGTGACAAATGTTTTCTGGCTAGACTAACATCAGGTCTATAACTTAACATAAAATTTGTATGTTCAATGTTTAGAATGGAGAGGCATTCCAAATTGAATTCTAAATGATAATGTACAAAATGTTAAGACTTATAAATGCCAAGAACATAATTCACATTTGGCCGTTATCTCTCTGCTTTTTCCTCAGGTTATTGTAAAAATATTGCCATGCTAAAGATAACAATTTAGCTTTTTTGAAATTGTTGCAGACTTCTTTCTTCATCACTTTAAATATATGTATAATTTTCAAAGCCCTGATGTGGTAAGTGATGTAAAACCTGAGGTAAGAACTAATCTTGAAACAGAATTTATACAACCGTCCTTCAACATTGCAAGGTCATGCAGAAACAGTATAACTTCTAAAACTTAATATACTAGCCAAAATGGGTACGATGAAAGATTTAAGTGGCTTTGAGCGAGGGATGATCATTGGTGCAAGAAGAGCTGGTGTCAGCATCTCTGAAACAACAACTCTTTTAGGATTTTCTCACCCAACAGTATCGCGGGTGTTTAGAGAGTGGCAGTTGAAAAAAAAACTTTAAGTGATAAGGACAATTCTGGTCGAAAAAGGCTAGTGAATGAGAGAGGTGAAAGGCAATTAGCATGCATAGTCCACATCAACAGAAGAGCAACAACACGACAAACTATAGCTGAATTCAATGCAGGTGTATCACAAAGCATATCCCAATGCACAACAAAACACACTTTGCAAAGGATGGGCTTTAGCTGCAGGAGACCATCAAGAGTGCCTTTGGTATCACAGAAAAATAGAAAAAAGTTCCTGTTGTGGGCCCAGGAACAATGAAATTGGTCACTTGAGGATGGGAAAAAATAGCCTGGTCTGATGAATCTCATTTCCTGCTCCATCATGCAGATGGCAGGATCAGAATATGACGCAAACAGCACGAATTCATGGACCCCTCCTGCCAAATGACAACTTTTCAGGTTGGTGGTGGTGGAATTATGGTGTGGGAAATGTTTTCCTGGAGTACACTAGGTCCCTTGATATTTGTGTACCCATCTCTGAATAGAACAGCTTATCTCAGCATTATTGTCAATCACATACTCATTTATGGCTGTAATGTTCCCTGATGGAGATGGTTTCTTTCAGCAGGATAATGCACTTTGTCACCATGCTCGATTGGTCTCAAATTGGTTTGAGGAACATTAATCATAGTTTAACCTGCTTCCATGGCCAGCTCAGTCCCCTGACCTTAATCCTATGGAGCATTTATGGGACAAAGTCAAAAGATCACTTCAAAGCTTGGAAATGCCACCATCTAATTTGACCCAACTTAGAGCTGCCATTATGTTAGCATGGGCCAACATTTCTCAACAACAGTATCAGCAACTCGTTGAGTCCATACCAAGAAGAATATTGGCTATGATCAGAGCTAAAGGTGGACCAACTCGTTATTAGAGAGTGTGTCTAATTTTTTGGCCACTCAGTTTATATACAGTAATTATTGCTACATAGAACATTAATAAACATTTTCTGTTTTCTGAATTATTGTTAGTTAATTAAATTTCAAACATAAATATGTTGAAATGTAAATTTAATGCAACACAAATGTAAACATAAGAAAGCAGTTAATTATACAGGATGATTGGTTGGAATGTAATAAAATTAAATATGTGTAAAAAAAGCAAAGCAATTAGAGGTTACTGAATGTTACATACATGTGTTAGAAGGTTGTTAGTTTATGCTTAAAAGAAACTAATATTTAACATGGCTGCCATAACAGATTATGCATCCACTTGGTATAAACTGAGTATCATCATGTTTCTACAATGCTTATACTCACTACATTTGGTATGGAAATATTCTCAAGTACCAATGCACAATTCTCTGATATGTGCTGTAAGGAATATCATGTACCACTACTGGTACAGCAACTACTTTGGACTCTGAGTAATGGCCTCCCAAGTATTCTCTTCTCTATGCCTGTCATGCACTCTTCCTCTGGTATGAGATAAAATCAGACCAACTTGCAGGAATTTCTAGTACCATTTTACAATGTCCTAATGTGATGGAGCATGGTGACACTTGTAAACTTGCCAGAATTCTCCTGTTTTTCATACCATACTATAGGCTGTGCCTCTACTGTGTGACTATTTTCACATTCCTATTGGTCATATTTCTTTATGTAACACTGCTTGTGTTTCTAAATGAAGCGCTATAATGTAGCAAACTGTTTCTAAATGTATGCTGCAAGGGGTCGCTGCAACAAAGATAAAGCAGCTTTTACATCTGCTACATGTGTAAAGCAAAATGGACACTTGTGTGTATAATATGATAATATGCTGTGAAAATAAAAAAGTCAAAGTGACTGTTGATAAAAATATTATGGAAAGATTAAGAAGGATTAAATTTTATAAAATGACTCTGAAAATTATCTAAAGAATAAGAAAATACTATATTTTAAATATAATTATCTATCTCTTATCTCTTTACTTTGCTCACATTTTCAGAAAGAGAAATGCTTAATTCTTCATATCTCTTTATTTAAATATTGTAGTTCTTTAACTAAAGCATTACTTTCAGCTGTAACTGAAATTAAAGGATAGATTACGGCATCCATGTTTAGCTTGAGCAGAAAGCGTTTCTAAACTATAATACAGTGATGTAGCAATAGCTACTCGTGATGTCATTTTCACTACACTCTTGCTACATAAAGAAACACAGCCATTCCTACACAGAAGAGTACTGAAAAGAATGCATATAATCTCAAAACTGATACCCTTCCAACATGTATGTAACATTCAGTAACCTCTAATTGTATTACTTTATTTTCTACACATTTTTTATTTTATGACATTCCAAATGGATCATCCCATATATATGGTGATAATCCTAATAAGTTTAACTATGTTTTAAACCACAATTTTATGTATTTATTATAATCTTTATTTTTTATAAATATTTTTAGAATAAAAAAATAATTTCCATTTTTTATATTAACAGCTTTATTCTGTAAGGTTTGATGATATATCTTCTATAAACTTTTATACTATCTATAGTTTTTTTATACAGTTCACTGTTAAAATTAATCATACTTCTTTCTTGACTATATCAATCTTAACTTTAAAATATTTTTTTGTCTTTTATGCTTTGTTTTCTTTTATTTTATAATTACTCTGTTTCAAGTGTTCCTAACTTTTTCATAATAATAATAACTGTAACTGTTTGATTTTAGTATTTAATAATTTTGATTTTTGAGCTTAAGGAAATAGGAACTTCTTGACATTCTTGACATTCAATAAAATATATTTATAACATTTCTAGTTATATTATTAAATATAATCAAAAAAATTTAAATATATGAAAAAATATTTTTTATTATATTATTATTAACAAAATATATTTATGTATATAATTAATGTTTTAAAAGGTTTAAAAATTTTCCAAATGAAAGTTTATTATGGTTAGAAATGCAAGCTGTAGCTGATGCTTTACAGCAAAATTCACAAGTTAATACTACAGAATTCTATTGGCGTATGTTTTTTTAATTTTGTCTAATTAATTGCAAATTATTGTTATTTTTAAAAATGCATTTAAATGGTTTTTTGAAAATTTTTTCAGATTTGTTTACAGAATTGTCAGTTAAAGTTCAGCATGAGATGTTATTAGCTGTTGCAGGTATTTATGTTAAAATTTTTTATTTTTACTGTAATAAACAATATTTTGGAATCCTTACTTTTTGAAAAATAAAATTAAGACTCGAATATCACTTAATATTTTATTATTAAAATAAAATTAATAATAAATTTAACATGGCCAATGGTTATTTATATTTAATAATAATACAGTAAGTATAAATACAACTTTTAACAAAGATAAAACTGAATGACTGAAGCAAAGGTTTTATCTTTGTTAAAAGTTGTATTTGTACTTATTGTATTATTATTAAATTTTATTTAAATGAATATGGGTAATGTCCAGTGGACAGAAACAAACTACCTCTGATAACAGACATTTTCTTCGTTATTATTATTTGTTTTTAATTAAGTAAAAACAAATAACAACAATGAACATATAATAAATATGACAAACACAACTTTTAGTGCTGAGAAACAACTTTATTACTTAAAACAAACATTTTCAATCTGATCAACAGGTCATCATCAGGTTTTAAATTCATTGGAACATTTACAATCATTCCATATTTGAACAAATATGTGATAACAAATTCAAAGAAGTTTGAATATTTCGTCGAAATACCATAATATACAAAAAATATAACCAATATAAGTACATGAAACTGAATGAATTGAAATAAATAGAATAAAATAAAATAAACTAATAAATACAAATATATTAACACAATGTATAGAAATTATATAAGGTGCATTTGTCATATTTAATTAAGGAGTACAGTCTGAGTATGTAATGAATTGAACATATAATATGCAAAAAAACAGTAGTGACATATAAATAATAAAAGTGAAAACATTGAAATACAATATAAAATCATTTGAATCTAAAAAATTAGCAAGTTTTATTACAAAAGTCATTGAAATATGTCATTATTTTCATCTTCATCAAGACTTTCACTGTCGTCATTCCTGTTTACTATCTTGTTACCTTCATAGTCTTCAATCTTGAACAATACATCATCCTCTGTTCTGTCCAAGATGTTGATAACACATTTTTTAAAGCCCTTTATAATTGTGTTTTTACCAACAATCTTTTATAATTCTACTATTATTTTAACTTTTACAAGAATATGTAGAATTTTTATTACTTTTTATCTTTGCCATTGGTTATGAAAATTAGTTCCATTCATTTACATTTCTTTCTTTTCAAAGTTAGTTGGAAATAAAATATTTTTGAATTTATATTTATAAATATCTGGGAATCAATCAGCATAAATGAATTTTGGATTATTCTACTAGTAATTATTACAAATTGCATTTAAATTATACATAATTGATCAGAAAATTGTACTCAAAAGATTTATGCTCTATAGAAAGAAATATATGTATTGGATTGGAAATGTTGTAAGTGGTAACTTGTGACTTATTGATTCTTTTTGTCAATATCCATAAAAATGAAATTAAGAGTAGACATTATGTTGGAAAGTAGACTTCCTTGCATATTTCATGTTTATTCTGGATAGTGGAGTGTATTTTGGTTTTACAACTATTGAAAAAGAAACAAATTTTTCATTTCATTTTCATTTGTCTTATTATTTTTTATAAAGACTAAGACATGTAATCATATTAAATACATAAATTATAATTACAATGGAAATTTACACTTTACAATAGAATAAATTTATGCTAAATTTACAACAACTTTCATTCTTTTTGACACTCACTCAATTGGTAGACTCCTAGGAATAAAATAAAGTTACCAAAATAAAATTCCTGCAAAAGTTACCAAAACTGTTTTTATCATATTCAAACAGAATCAATCAGATTAGTTTAATTGATTGTTTTCGAATAATTGACTAATTGATGATTTATAATTTTGCCAAATACTCAATTCCCACATATAGTTTGTAGGCTGCAGCATGATAGATCACAACTTGGCTAGCATTTAGCATCATGAACAGCCAATGTACTGAATTTTGGAATCAGTTTAACTTTGTACACACAATGGATCACAGACAATTATCAAAATCAAAGAAAACTGTAATCAGACTCAAATATAAGTTGAGGTTTGAATGTATTATAAGTTGAAATTGAGAGCAATTTTTTGACACTTTAAAACTGGGAAAAAACAACGACTAATATGGTATTTTTAAAATTGAGCATTAGTAAACTATTAAATATTTCACTTTTTCTCTACATATCAAATTTAGCAGTTAAGGAAGAAATTTATCTAAATCTTTAACTGCCAAATTTGATATAATTTATTAGTCTGCACATAGAATAAAAGATTTATACATTGCATTTAATTGAATAATTATGTATTCTTTATATCTAATTCATGGTATGGATTTGATCATTTAGTTTATATTTAATTTGTATTAAATAGTAACATCTCATTTTTATTAGCATATATATTTGTAAATAAATTTTAGACATAAATATTGAAATATTATCAAAGTCCTTGAAACTTGGCACTGCAATTACATATAAAACTTGATATTGCTTATTGCTTATTAAGAAAACCAATTTTTGGAATATTTTATTTTGGTTGGAAAATTGATTTTGTAGCTTATGTTGACTCAAGGAGAGTCAACCTCAGCTACAAAATCATTGTAATCATTTAGAATATCCAACAGAACATAGAATAAAACTGAATTGAACTGGCACATTTGAAAAATATTACATGAAAGAACGACATGAAACTGTAAGCACACAGAATGTAACAAAATACAGAAACTGGAGGAAATGTCAGAAAATAAATTTATACCTTAAAAATCAGCTCCAGCAAAAATTTTAATGAAACAAAAACAGTTTCAACCTAATTTGATAGGTCTTCTTAAGATAAGTATTCCAAAATAGAACATTCAATAAAAATAGAAGATAGTTGAATAAAAGTTTTTGTTTTATTAAACTTTTTGCTGAAATTGATTTCTAAGGTTAAATTTATTTTTTAACATACCCTCCAGTTTCTGTATTTTGTTAAAATGGAGTAAGTTTCTATGGTAGTTAGTTAATTAACTTTAATTTAAACAACTACAGCCATCTCTGACTTAACATCAGTAATCTGTTCCTGAAAATTAAATATTCTGTATGAAAACATTAACTGGGACTCTATTCCCCATTATTTTAAATGTATAAGTTATAATGCATTAAATTTGAATCCAAAATTCAACTAATTCACAATGTGAGATAAACCGCGGGTCAGGGATCAATCTCCCACTGACCACTTACTCGGCAACAGGTTGATAAAACCCGATCTCGGCGTCGTCGGATGGCTAGGAGGGCAGTTCGAGTGGGGAGGGAGGTGAGCAAGTTGATAGGCGTCCTTAAATGACAGGAAACAGGTTTAAAACTAAACAAGCATTTATTATATACTCAACTAAGCACTACAAGAGGNCAAGAATATTATAAAAATGTTCTAATATTATTTTTATTTTTTAAAGATAATTTAGTTCAATACAAACAATAGTCACTTATAAATTTACAGGGTTGTATGTAATTATCCTAAAGAACATTCAATAATAATAATGATAGAATTTTATAGAGTGTCCAAATAGCAATGCTGTTTCAACTGTAGAATAAAATGCATCATTTATTGAACTGCAAATATTTTTATTTCAGTATAAAATAATCTTACAATCCATTTTAATGCTGTCATTTTTACTTTCTGGCTGTTATAACAGAGGGAAAGTATGGCAATCCAGCAAAAAATGACCCCCAGATTTTTACATTTTTGGACTTAGGATACCTTGAAATGCGAAAAAATTTTGAGATAATTTCTGTATGTATGGATGTTAGTGTGTGTGCATATATGTGTGGTTTGATTTTGTTCACTCTGTTTGAAGCTTAATAACTCCTGTGCTTTTTATTGAAAATTTCTAAAATTTTGCAAAGAGGTTTGTTTGTTAGGGGGATGATGCTGTTAAATTGTGGTGGTTAAAGGTCAAGGGGATTATGTGTCATATCTTGAGTCAGGCCGGACTTAACGTCGATTTTACTCATTATTAGCATTTACAATTTTGTATAAAACTCATCCCTACCCTCAAAATTAAGATTTTTGTCATTTTATAATAGTTAAAAATATAAAAAGTTTTTATAAAATATGATGACATATGGTGCTACCAAAATTTTAAATGTTGCTGGGAAAGTTGAGCAATGTGTTGATGGTTTATTACATGTGGAAGACAGTGTCCACCAAACGTTTCCCACAACTCTTGCTTTGCACATACACTCTTTTCACAAAATTGCTTATGACAATGCCACATAATTCTGGCCAATTTCTGCCAATAACATGCCAAATCTCTATCTTGATGTCAGGAATTATTCGTGGGGTGTTGGCATAAACACAAAATTTGACAAACCCTCAAATAAAGAAGTAATAGGGTGTCAAATTGCATGATCTTGATGGTCAATTTTGGTCAGCATTGCATGATATGATGGCCTGGAAATCATTTTCAAAAAAGTACAGTTTAATCAATAACAATCAATAACATTTTCAAGATTGCTAATTGCACAAAATGCCAATGACACAGAATTTACATCCAGCACTGTTAATGGCACACCCTTTTATCATAGCATTTGTCCTATATTTATTTTACTCTACATATTTATAAGTGCTTAATTGTTTTTATATTGTTTATAAATTGAAATTATTTTTTAAAATTTAAATAAAAACGGAATAGTGTCAAATGATCTAGTGAATTATCCATCAGCTCATGGATAAAAGGTCAGATTGTTTGGTAATACAAGTAAATCAGATTGTTGATTATGTTATATGAAAATGAATAGTCTGTAAAAATTACTGAGAAATAATGTATGCAAAACTTCAACAGCATTAATCTTTTTTTATGAATTACAAATAAATTTGGTACTAGAGGGAGGCATTAGGTGCCATCTCATANTGATTATGTTATATGAAAATGAATAGTCTGTAAAAATTACTGAGAAATAATGTATGCAAAACTTCAACAGCATTAATCTTTTTTTATGAATTACAAATAAATTTGGTACTAGAGGGAGGCATTAGGTGCCATCTCATATTAAATTTAATAATTATAATATTTAATTAATTAATTTAGAATAAACTGAAAGAAAAGAATCAGCCCGAAGTGGTACTCAAACTTGCAACTCCCGCTTACAGTGCAGATGCATTGCAGTTACCCTACCCTATTTTTTTTTAATGCTTTTCAGCCAATTTATTACATTTCGCTATTAAATAGTTCTGCCCAAAACATAAAGTTTCTTTTGTATTTACACTATTGGAGCACTCAATGTAATTCAAGCATTGAATGAAAGGAAGGAATAACTTTTAAAAAATAGCTAGGGAGCCAGAGATGAAATATCAATACCATATGTTTCAAGTGTTTCAATTTAATGATTTTTATGGATTGCCTTATTTATAAGTTTTATTTCTATTGGAATTTTAATTTAGTTAACATTGTCTAATTAATCTAATTAAAAATAATTAGAAAAAAAAATCTTTTAAAATTTGAACAAATGCTTGTTCAAATCTTAAAAGATTTTTTTATTTGCATTTTATAATCTCAACCTGAGTAAATTTCTATAATTTTATAATCTGTTTATTTTAAAAATTTAAAAATAAAACATTTCAGAGATTTCTTTTGTAAATGAAGTTATTATTTGTATGTAATTATTTGTATGTAAATGTAATTATTTGTATTTATTATTTAATAGAACATAGCGAAGATACAATGGAACACTGTTGTTTAATGGTTTTATTACTGAGTAAATTTCCAGATAAAGTTTTAAATCATGGAGTAAGTAAAATTACTTATTTAAAGTATTTTTTTATAATTAAAAAAAATTACAATTTATGTGAATGATTTAAATTTCTCTTAGTTGAAATAAGAATAAATTATCAAAAATATTTACCATAATGTTCATTAATTTAACTTGTTAATAATTTATAAAACATAATATTTCTTAATTGTCTCAGTTAAACTTACAAAGTATAATATAGAAATGTGCTTTCTCAAACACATATGTAATTTGAAAAAATTAGAAAATTAAAAGGAAAAATAAAAGGTTATTTAAAACTTAAAACAAGCAATTATTTATTGTGATATTAAAAATTGTAGGCCAGCAATGTGACAATCATCTTGTAATCAAAAAATCATGTGACTTCTGGTCTAGACCAGAAGTTTTCCATATCTGCTCTGTTCTTAATTTTTACCTATCTAAGTCCATTCTTGAGATTAATGAAGGACAGACAGATAGATGAACAAATGACAGTGGAAATGTATAGGTCTACAGTGTGAAAATTACAGTCCAATTATCAGTAATTAATAATTAGTTATATATCAACTTTCCTTCAGAAGTCAGAATTTTATCTTATTGTTTAATGATAATGATAATAAAGAAAAATTTTAATTTTATTAAGATAATTTATGATTCTAACTAATTAATAATTAGAAATTCATCAATCATTTTAAAAATATTAGAGATTGGCAAATACAATCCACAAATACTTGAATACTAGAAAGTTTGTTATATGAGATCTCAAATATAATGCTAATAAAAAATAAATTCAAATAATATGAATATTTCCAATGTTGCACTATATGTAAGACAACATCTCTGGTTTAATTTTTGACCAGAAAAGAAGTAGACTAGCTCCTCAATGTGTTCATATGCTTGTTTTCTTAATTAAAAATCTGTATTAGATGAGAATGAGAACAATTATTGATTAATTCATTGTAGTGAAGATAAGAGTACAGTAGAACCTTGAAAACTCGACCTAATGTGGACCGAAGGGTGGCCGAGTTTGTGAAAATGCCGAGTTATCGGGAATGGGGTTAAAAAAAATAAGTACGAGTATTTCCTCAGAAAATACTGTACTGTACTTGTACAGTATTTACTTGTACAGAATATAACAGAGAATAAACTGCCCAAATACCCTTAAACAAAGGAAAAGTACGTCCTTTATGAAGGCATAGAGCCACTACATGAAAATGAAAATTAATGAATACACTGTGTACAGTAATTTACCTGATAAGACAGACCTCA